AAAATGAGAGTTACTACAAGATTGAGGAGGGGAATCAATCAATACACAGTCAATCACCCCAATTAACACCAATATCACTATAGTAAGAAATATTTCCATTTTAGCATCATTGGATACCATGTCTGTAAAGAGTGTTTTCGGAAGAGCTCATTAGCAGCCAGGCTAGTAACTGAGATGAATTATAAAACTTCCAGAATATCAGTAGAAAAAATAGTACAAAATTTGATAATATCAGCCTAAATCCAATGCTCCTGTATTGAGTGGGCACTTATATTCCAGAGAGGAATTAAGACAACAGAGCACTGTGGCCACCATGATCATGTCAGCTTCCTACTCTGCCTGCTGAATGGCCATCATCCCCATGTTAATTTAAGCAGCTCTTGCAGTGTGAGCTTGGAAAGAAATAGGAAACGACTACTTTAGAAACAATCACATATCATCTCAAAGCTGTGGCAACATCCAATATACACTTGAAAATAAATTTACAGAGAGAAAAAATGGGCCATAGCAGGTCTGCATAAAAGCACTGATGTATTTGTGATAGTTACTCTGTAGTAGGAATTTTTACCTTAAGTATAAATAATTGGTTGCATATAGCAACAGTTTAGAGTGTTGGTCACAAAGTATGAGCTCAATAAATATCAGCTGCTATCATCCTACTTCTCACTTAAGATTCTATAACTAATTAGAGCATGCACAAAAACAGTGGCCACTGGTAAGATGGAACTTAGGTTTAAACCCCGGTTCCGAATCCATCTGCTATATCACCAAGCACAGGGAGCTCATCCCTTTAGATTTCCTTCTCCATAAAACTGAAATCGTACTGACTACTTCTTGATGTCTTTTGTGAAAAGTAAGTGATATAATACATAATAGGAGCTTGGCACAACGCCTGATTCATCAAATAAAAATAACATTGCTTCTCCCCTCACCTCACACATCACGATTCAGAGCTAATAATAACAAATCCATACAAAGTGGCGAGACAGATGAGTGAGGAACACCCCACCCATACTCTAGGTAATACCACAGACTTGGTTTATTTTCCTTCTTTCCTCGTATGAATCTTGGGTTTGATGACACCGATAAGAGAATAAACAGTTTATTGTTTCAATTAAAATTATTCCTATTAAGTCATCCTAAATTGTACACAGTTGGAATTGATCACAGGGAAAGGAAGGGACTGTCCCATAGGGGTAAGGAACAGGTATTGTATCATCATAGAAACCTAGGTATACATCCCAGTTTCACTCTTAGCTATTTATGTGGTACTAGGCAATTTAGTCTTCTAATCCTCAGTTTTCTCATCTATTAAATGGGGATAATAACTATACATATTGTTTCCTATGGTGTTAGAGAATGGAAATGAGTGTATTTAGCACAGTCACTAATGCATATTAAGTACTCACTAGCAAAAATATTCATACCATTAGCTGGGGGTGATCACATGTCAACCTCTAATTAAATGAGGTTAATTAGATTAGCATATAACTCTTAAAAGAACAAACAGATCATTCTGCACATGGTCAGCTACCTTTAGTAGACAAATCTCTGCTAAAATAAGCACTCAGTTTTTAATCTGCATTTAAGATATGAATTGATGCTGGCTTACCTTGTATTAACTAGTAATGCTACTAGCTACCACATATTTTATTTGATAACTTCACTTAATGATCTCAGTAACCCTGTGAGGAAGATATTATCCCATATGCATAAGAAAACTGAATCTCAGAGAATTCCAGAGACTATCTGACTAGAAAGTAGCAGTGATATGATTTGAACCTTAGTCTTCCTAAATTCAAAATATATCATCACCTAAATAATTGCACAACTTCATTCTATATTACTGAAAGACATATAGTATTGCAGAAAGTAGCAAAGACATAATTAATGTTCCTGGAAATTACAGGGTAAGACTATGGATTTTGCTCTATGCCATTGTTCATTTTCCCCCGGAAGGGAATATACAAATATATAGATACATTTATAGATACAGATATAAATATAGGTATAAGAATTTTAAAACACATGATATTTCTAGCTTGACAATGTGCTCTAAATTGTTGAGCCTCATGAGAAGTTGACCCATCAGTAAATGCACGTTTTAACATGGCAGATACTATGATAAATGCCTATTTCTTGCTGGATGGCAAATTAAACGTTATTCTAAAAGATGGGTACATTCTTGTCAACATATAAAATACAACAGTCCGAAAGAGAAAATAATGCATAGCTATTTGTTACCTAGCAATTCTCTGTATAACCATGTCCTCTAGTTCTGTTTTAAAAGGTTAAATGGCTCTAAATCTGCCTGCTAGACTCATAAGGAACTATGCATTGCTCTGGCTAGTCAGGAAATATAATTTCCTACTCAAATTAACCAATTGTGCATAGAGAGAGGAAAGCTGCTCTCTATAACCCAACTGGGTGGAGGTCGGGGTGGGGAACTGGAGAAATGCTGAACCAATGCTGAAAAATGCGGTTTGTGATTTTCACATTGTCATCCCTCCTACGGAGCCAGTCCGCCTCCAATCAGAACTGTGTGGGACCCGCCTTCTGAATGACACATCAAAAGCAGCTGTAAATGCTTTGAAACAGCATTCGTCCCTTCTTTGGGTAGGACCATAGATGCCAAGGAACTAGCACTTGCCTGACATCCATCAGAAGCACAGATATGTCTGTGTCATCAAATGGTACTTTATCTGCCCATCTCTTCCTGGTAACACAGCCTCAAATCCCTTTTTAGCCTGCCTGAAAATGAAATGTTTATAAGCTGGACAGTTATTTCTAAACAGCCTCAAGCTTCCTCCACACTTACCTTTCCTCCCAGTGGCAATAATAAAAATAGCAATGGCAATCATAAACACAGCAATAACAATAACATTAATAATAACAATCAACTACAGTGAGATTCAGCACTCGGTCCCCTGGGAACTGGAATTAGTATCAGTAAATCTCCATTTCTGCATCAGTAAAATGAAGAGGTTAAAAAATGTGCAAAAACAATGTGAGGAACTATGAATCTGGATTTAAACCCAGCTCTGCCTATTTGAGGTTACTTTCGCTCTGGTGCGAAAAGTTACCCAAACCTCAGCTCTAGATGAATGAGAACTTGTTTCTGGCCAGCAAGTTCATTCCAAAGGGGAATCCATGTTTGGGGTTTATGTGAGAATGTCCCCAAATCTTAATCCTTATTGTCCCCCAGGGTCCTTAGTTTGGCAAACTCCTGAGCTCTTATACACTCCTGGTGGACAAAAGTAGAAATGTCAACAAATCAAGTGCTAAACTGGCCCCGTGACTGGTCTGTCTGGTGACCCAGTCTTGTGTCCTCCCTCCACATTCTGTCTCATGCGTGGAGATGTAAAGAAAGTGAGTGGTGATGGCTCCTTTTTGAGTTCCTTTCAAACGAAATTGAGTAACACGAACATAGGGAAGATTTATTCATTCAACAAATATTGCTGTCCCTATTTATGTCAACATTCCAACATAAAGCCATCACACAACTTTTATATATTATCAGGAAATTGATGCCCACTTAAAATTATTTTTCTGTATACTTCCTATCCTTGGATCAGCACTTGACCCTTTGATAGATATCATTCTCTTAGCCAAACAAGGGACTTTGTGTATGCTTACCGTTTGTTGCATTCCTTCAGAACTGACAATGTCCAAAGGACTATTCCTCAAATCCCCAGATGAGTTTTATTTTCTCAGAGGTTGGACTCTTCTGAAAGATTCTTTCTTAGTATCCTTACAGGGGACACTTTTGTTGATTATCTTGAATTTAGAAATGGTTTGTGTCCAAGAAAAAGGACCGTGTTTGATCTGAACATAATCTTTTTTTTTTTTTTGTACAAACTCAAATTATTTGGGGCATTGATTATTCTGTAGCGTTTTAGCACCCTTGTAAGTAATGGGAATTTAATACATTTTTAAAAAGTGAATAATAAAACCTGCAGAAAATTCACTTGTCTAAAGTTTCTCTGAATAAAGTAATTGTAAGGATGTCTGCCCCAGATATCTGTGGTTTAGAAATGGAAAGGGTTTGGTATGGCTGAAATTTAACTCATAGATTAGCTGGACAATTCTTTAAAATTGTACTTCTCTATCTAGCTCTCTCTCTCTCTCTCTCTCTCTCTCTCTGGTGCAAGAAATATTTCTAAGACAATATTTGAAATCCACACTCAAACACATCATTAGCCAACACTTCACCCTTGGAGACTAGTATACAGGTTATAGATTTTCATTGTGCTTTCGGAAGAAAGCGATTTAGCTTGAACACTTGTACTGTCATTTGGGTGATGGGCAAAAGAGAAAAGATGTGTACAGTTCAACAGAAAAAAAAAACAAAAAAACAGAATTGAGCTTCATTTCTGAAAAAGGCAGAAAAACTTTAATAAAGGATTATTTCTCATGCTGGGGAAAAATCTGAGCAGGGAAAGTATTTTTGTAAAAGTAGAGAACAATTTTTGTTTAAAGGACACCGAACCAAATATGCTGACCTATAAGAAATGCCTGCAAAGTGATAAAAAGATAATTTCGAAGCCAAACACCAGACATAGAAATAAGATAGGAGCCTCTTAATGCATTGATATGGTGGTTCTCATGCCTCTAAATTCTAATATATAATTCACTGTAACTGTCAAAACAGACAGAAGACAAACTAGCAATGCTTTTCCAAGCCTAAAATAATAATAATAATAAAATAAAAAGCACAAACAAGCAAAACATCAAAAGAGCCGCCCAAATGTGTTGTAAAACATTTTCAGCTTTGCATTTTTCCTTGAGCCAGAATAGATTTGTTTACCTTGAGGTTCCTGGCTCTGGGCTCTTTCTGTAGCACTTAGTAGGCACACACAACAGAGTATGCATTAACCAAAACTCTTTGGTCCTGTGAGCCTGAGTCTCAAAGGCAGCCACACAGAAAACAGACATAACTGCATTTTGTACTGATTTGTTGTCATTTGCACTAGCCAGTATTCCTTTTTAGGGAGAAATACCTTATAGGACTGGAAGTGATGTCAGGGTCACGTGCGGTCACTTGCCCAATCACAGAGTTCAGAGCAGCATTCTCATGAACTTCAAGGAGGTAAGTCGGTGAGGAGAAGACAGGAGGCTCATCCGCATCCTCAACAACAATTTTGACTGTTGCCGTATCTTTAAAAGGCCCCCTGCTGCTGAAACGTGGGTCAATATGGACATTGGCTGCCTCTACCTTCAGCGTATAGGATTTTTTGGTCTCAAAGTCCAGAGGCTGTTAAGAAATGACAAAGACGAATGTTTCTCACTAATGACCACAGCAGCAAGAACAAATGAGTATAATGCTGATGGATGAAAGTTATGTGCATTTAAGCCCATTTGTGAGCCTTTGATGGGATCACTCTCCAGTCCCTCAGATTCAACCTGTAAATTTTACAGGCATTTATTGATATCTGTTTATTATACAAAGCTCAGTGAATCTAATCTTCTATTGTTTTGTTTTGTTTTGCTCATTTCACTTGGAATTCGCAAAATATTCACAGTCATGAATTGTGCCATCAAAATTTCACTTCAGAGTCATAATAAAATTTTACTAGTGATGGCATGACCTGCATACTAATCAGCCAGTTAATCGGGCCTCTGCTGGTGGGAGATAAGACAGCATCGAACGCAATCTCTATCTGGAAAGAATATTTTATTATTTCTGCAACAGAGTGTGAAATGTAAATAACTAGAAATAATCATTGTTTAGTCCAAGGAGACATTATAAAGCATAATTTAGTGCTAATCCCAACAAAGAGTGTTTTCTCATTTCACTTCCAAAGCATTGCTACTCTGCTGATCATGTGGCTAAAATGGGGTTTATTATTTTTTTAGGACATTCTTAGAAGATCTCTATTATGAGTACCATGCTATGAAGCAGGTGGGCACATAAAGAAATGTGTATGCAGATACATAGGTATGTACTTGTGTTTATATGGAGAAGAAAGAAGAGTGTGAGCAGTTTAAGTAGGTAACTGAGTATGTTTGTGCTCCCACCAACCATTTAAAAGCAATTTGAAATTACCTCATTGCACTCTGACATTATTTCTCACATATTAATCCTTCGTTACCTAAATTAAGTCTGAGATACTTTAGTCAATGACCTAGGTAAATAAAGCTAGACAAAAAGAGCATAGTCCCCTTAAATAAACCAGAAGTCTGTCTGCATCGGAACCCTTATGGTCCAATTCTAGGTGACTCACGATCATTCAGATTTCAGGGACGCAAGTCTGTCAAAGTTCAAGGAGATAGTTTACTTCTGCATTACAATTCCTCATAAGAAACAGAACTTTGAATCTGCAATGTATATTTTCAAATTATAAGAAGCTGGAACACAAGCTGGCATCAATGAACTCTTGTAGAACTCCTGAGAGAACTTAAATATATGTTCTTATTTCAAAATATTGTGTTAATTTTTATATTTCAATTTAGATCTAATGGCACTTGGCGGGGCTTTTTGGGAAATATTTTCTAGTAAACAAGGCACACACTCACTTCCCTGTCTATTCTGAAATTACTAGACACGTGCATCTCTGAATAGATGATTTAACATAAGCATATTCACAATTTACCAATCACCTTTGCTGTAACAATTTTGCAATTTAAAATTCGTCACAAACATCGTTAAGCATAACAGACTATGTTCTGTTTAATTCTTAGCTCAATATACAGACAATGTATCCAAACACATTCTAGTGCCCTTTGAATCATACTAAAAAGGGGGCCCATAAATTGTAGAAATACAACTCCTTATACATTGTTCTCTAGAGTAAAATATATGTGTTTCCTGGCATCAAGGTGCATAGTATATGCTTCCAAGTTTATGAATAACGGTGAATGAAAATACAGCAAATGGCTAACTGTTTCAGTTTATAAAAGCACCTTATGGCAACAAAAGATAGGAGTTAATAATAACAATAAAAATGACATTATGAACCATTAGCCAGAGAAAATGTGGCTCTGGGTTATTCAATAATTGACTCATGTATAATTATGCTGTACTCTATTTCAAACATGAGTTTTTAAATAGTTTGTAACTCTTAATTCTAAAGTCAAACCAGGATCCTGGTATGAAGACAGTGTTGCTTGAATAGAGAGTTAAAATAAATGCAGCTGTATTTTTATCAGCATTGATTTTTAATGCTTTTTTATAAAAGCATATCCAAAAAACTCCAGGTTCCCACTGTTAATATCTCTTCAATGGTGGATTTTAAGAGCAGAACCAATGAAAATAGGTCTCTGTGCAACACGACAGAGACTCAGATGGCAACTTTAGAATCATATCAATGTTTCTAAAGAAACATATCAATTTCAGAATTACACCAAATGTAATTCTGATCAAGAAAGAGGGAAAAATTATTGGCTTCCAATTTTGTGGACCACTGTCTACCTTCTTATTCAAGAATAAGCAAATCTATTTAAAAATGAGCCTGATCTAGTTCATGACAATGTTATGAAGAACAATATCAAACAAATTAATCACAATGAGGATGAAAGAGTGCTTTTTTCCTTGCAAATGCTTGGTGCTCATAAAATAATGAACTGTGTCCTACACGTATCTTATGAATGTAGATTTCATGATAAGAAATACAAATAGAAAATGTTTTACAGAATTTTTCACATCTACCATAAAACACTGGATGCTAACAAAAGCACTCTCAAATTGTCATGCATTATTGGACTAGTTGTGAAGATGCAGAAGCAAGGCAGAGATTAGCTTCATTTCCCATAATGTTTGAACTATTGATGCATAGTCTGGAGTAGCCAATGGTGGCAGGGTTGGCCCTGTCCGTCATGCACCAGAGCTAGCTGGGATGACTGAATCTCAACATTCTGCCTGTCTTTGAGTTTCCCTGAGAGCACAGCCCTCAACTTGGGAAACTTCAATGTATTTGGGAAAGATATTTCAGGAAGCAGGAGCTTAACAAGTAAAGACAGTTATATAGGGAAAGACTAAATCATTGAACTTGTCACCTCTGCAGGCAAATGAAAACTCTCTTGTGAACCTTAACCAATATGCCTCTTCCAACAATAGTAATTGGCCACTGATTTTTCTCCCCTTTTGTTGAGGGTCACTTTTAGGGCACTGACTTCCCCACATAACTGGTGTGTCCTATACAAGGACTGAGAAAATTCTGGTGGCTTAGGGGAAAGCACTGGAAGCATAGATGGGGGGAGAAATACTGGGTGAGATGGGAGGCTAGCTCCACCACAGTGACTGTTTACCAGACTTTAGCTGAAATGGGAAACAGGACCAAGAGATAGGAGGTGCCACAAGGATTCTACTTATCACCTGGTCTTCTGGCTTAAAGCTCAATGTCCACCAGCTCTGAGATTCTGTTGGGAAGTCCACCCAACCTCCTCAAACTTTAAAACTCAAGTATCACAAAGGTATTTTGAAGATGAATGAAATCTTCCTTAGCTTACCTTTCTTAGTCTTATAATGCCATCCTGGGCCTGGGCATCAGAAGTGATTTCAAAAAGTGCTGTCCCATCTCCATCAATGATGTCATATGATGACTGAGCATTTTCACCAATGTCCTGATCGTTGGCCTTCACCCTTCCTATTGCAGTGCCAAGAACCACATCTTCTGGTACTGAGAAGTGATACAGACCTTATAAAAGAGGAGAAACAATGAGCATTGCACACGTTCCAACAACCCATTAATTTGTTTAGCAAGTCTCTACTGGGCACCTCTTTTGTTCTGGATGTTTCATAGATGCTACCAAGACAGTGATGGAAAAGGCAAAAATAGCCTTTTCCTTTGTGCAACGTAAAATCTTTTAGCTGAGTCAGAGATAAATAGTTCCCAGGAGAAGGAGTAATCTCTTTTCAAGACTCTTCTGAGATATGGAACTTATTACACCATATGCTTACCAAATATGTATCTGGAGCAGTTATATCAAGATATTAGTGAGTCTACATCTAAGTTCTTTCCAGTTTGTAGTACGATCACATTGACTGCCCATGGGGATATTCATTATTGCCCAACATAAAGTACTAAGCTAATTTCAGCACAAAAAGATGCAATGTGCAACACACTGAAAGTCACTTTTGAACTTACCTTTATATGTACAGACTTTTAGACTATTTTTGATAAAATCCAATTACTAACCTTCTGCTGTGCCCTGCAGCAAGCTGTTCAGACACATGAAACACTCCTGTTATTACTAAAGTCCTCATTGCTCTGAAGACCAAAATCTTACCTTAAAGCTCCCTAGGCAAAATACAATTACAGTCTATATTCATTCTCATACAGGGGCAATAAAATGTGACTAATTATTGGCATTATTCCTTTTCTTTAATTCAAATCACTTTAGTTGTTATAGTGGTGTTACTCACTGTCACTGGTGTTAGGGAAGCAGTTGGTGCCCTAACCATAACCTCTGACATTACCCCTGTAGTGCACACCTGCCCTACATCTAACTGCCAATTCCTGCATTTATTTGCCTGAGGGTTTTTCTGGCCTTCAGAACCCATTTTGCCCATTGCATGTCAGGTCAGAACTACCAGAGAGTTAATGCCTCTGCAGAAGCAGCCCTCAAAAACTCACAGGAGTTAGTGTATAAAATCTTAGGTGTCTCCTTTCTCTGGTAGGATAACTTTTCTTAACTCTTTTCTTTTTTTACAATGGTCCAGACACTCCCCAATTTATTAAGGCTCCAGTCACCCACGGTGGTAGTTGGCTTGATAATACACATTTTTTGACTCTCATTCTAATTCTCTCATTTCCCCACTGGTGTTTTATGTGACCATCTTTAAGTTAAACTACTTACAAAGTCTTGTCTCATTGTCTGATTCTGGGAAATTCCAACTCAAACAACCAGGAAGTTTTAGTCCCTTTGCAACCATAACAAGGGAAAAATAAACATTCAATGAACTATAAACCCAAAAGGAAAAATCAAATCTGGGGAACATTACCTAGTTCTAGTTTGACTTCAATCACTGAGTCCCTTGGATAAACTAAGGCTCATTTTATCCAATATAACAGGATTCAGTTTAGATGATGAGTAAGGTTTCTTCTAGCGCTAACACCCCTTTAATTAATAATGAAATAAAATGTCTCTTAGAATCATAAAGTTTTAGAGCTGGAGAACAAAAACTTTTCCAGATATCTTTGCCATAAAATAGGCACTGAAAATCATCATATTGAGCACAAATCTCCCAATTCTCTCATAATTGGTGTAATGATTCCATTTCCTTCCAACTTTATATTCCAGGTAAGGTTTGAGATTATCCCTTTAGGTGTGCTTATTAAGTAAATAAGCCAGCAAGGGGCTCACCTTGCTACCAGCCCTACATTGGGGAGCCTTGAGAAACTGAGTAAATGGAACATTCCTTTATCCATTCCTATTCTCCTTCTAATCATCTCTACCAGTGTGATCATACCTAATAGTTATTACTTCTAAGAAAGGGGCTGCTTTTGAAACTCATCTGCCTCTGTTGAATTGAAACAATAATTTTCTGAGAAAAACGGAGCCCATTACAGCATTAACTATAATGGCAACTGAAAAGGAAATAAAAGAGTAGGGGAAAGGATAAGAGAAATGGTATTTTCCATTTCAATAATTTTGTTTAGAAGGGTCACATTGTTGTCTGATTTATGAAAGGCTAGGGGTAAAAATTCTGAAATTTTTAATGAAAATGCATCTCTTCTATTTTTTTCTGGAATTTCTGAAGACAGATTCTTAAAAGCACCTCAAATATGTCATTTTTGAGCTCCACCTCCCTCTCTCTCTCTCACTCTCTCTATCTCACCCCCACTTTATTCCCTCTCTCCCTACAAAAACCAGTTTTCTTATGGTATTTTTTATCCCAGCAAACAGCAGCAATATGCATCAAATCTCTCATGTTGGGAATAGGATAACCTACCTTCCTCATCTGAAAATGCAACCTATTTGTAGATCCCTGTCATTATTAATTCCAATATTTACCACACCTATACACCTTTCTCCACATCCAATGCAACCACCCTGGCTTGCCAAAATCACCATCACCTTCTACATGAATGATTGCAAACACTCCTTTAACTGGCTGCAAAGCAGAGAAGACATTGAAAGAAGGCGAGATTTATTTATTTTTTCTGATTTTCCTTGTATCATGCAACCTACAATTTACAATCTTTTAATGGCTTCCCAGTGATCTTGGGATAAAGATCTTGGTACTTAAAATGTCCTACAATTCCAAATATGGCTTATTCCTGCCAGTTTAACTCTCTAGCCTCTTGTTGTAACACTCTCCCCCCTGGCCCTTTGTGCTGCAGCTGCAGTGAAATTCTTTTCATTTCCATATATGGCCATCCACCATCCTTCCATAGGGCTTTTTAAAAAATAATTGCATATACTTAAGGTGTACAATAGGATGGTTTGAAAAATAAAATCATCTTGGAAAGATGTCTGCACCCCATGTTCATCAACGCATTATTCATACTAGCCAAGAAATGAAAACAACCTAAGTGTCCATTGACAGATGAATGGCCATAGAAGTCACAGTGTGTAACACACACACACACACACACACACACACACACACACACACACACTGGGATGTTATTCAGCCTTTAAATTTAAAAAGGATATTCTGTCATTTGCAACAATGTGGATGAACCTAGAGGGCATTACATTAAGTGAAATAAGCCAGATTGAGAAAGAAAAATGCTGTCTGATCTCACTAATATGTAGCGTCAAAAAATAAAAAAAATAAATAAATAAAAATGAACATGTAGTCCCAGGGCTTTCATACATCCTTTTTAACTGCACTATCCATTTTCCCTTCCTTGGTTTCACCTTGTTCCAGCTAATCCTATTCACCCTTTGTGTCTCAATTCAAAAGTTTCCATATCTGAAAGGCTGTACTTAACAAATCATGTCTCTGTCGTATTGCTTGGAGACATGCTCAGAAAAGAAGTGTTCTATGAGCATACAAGAAAGTTGGCAAATAACAATTGTCTTCCTGCTTCACTGACAGCCCAAAAGTTTCTACAGCAGAGCATGTGGCCTTAGCCAGAAAGAGTAGAGTCAATGATTACTGATGTCCCCTCTGTTGCAGGAAAGAGTAGTGTATGTGCTGTAGCAAGTGGACTGCATATTTGCTTCCCCACCTCAGACACTAGAGAGATTGTGTCTTTTACACAACAAATGAGACTAATGAGAGCAATATGTGAGCCGCATTTTTATGTCCTCTCAAGTCTCCTTAATGGGGATAGTGTGCAAAAGAGAAATGAACACACATCTTACGGTCAGAGACGTTGGTTCTAATTGTCTGTTACTATATGCTTGATATTTGGAATTTTTTTTTTCAATTTTGAAATCTGTAGCATGGGGGTAAATTTAGTACCAAAATTATGACAACATGGTTGGTTGCTACATGCACACACACACACACACACACACACATGAATTGCAAAACCTTGCACCTAAGCACTCAACAGTTTCTCTCAGCTTTTTAGAATGTCACTGAAAGTTATAATATAAATTCAAGTGGAAACATCATATTTAAATTCTCACCCAGTGTAGGAAATTCACTTACTCTGTGCGAATTTTGGAGGATTGTCATTAACATCAGTAAGGGTCACTGTAAGAGTCGTGGTCCCAGACAGGCCACCGGAGTGTCCACCCATGTCTTTGGCTTGGATGACGACCAGGTACTCCTCCTTGGCTTCTCTGTCCATGTTTGGCAGGGCAGTTTTTATAATAGCTGAGGGAGGAAAATGGAAGAATGACTTTCAGGCAGAGAAGTCATTCAGCAATGACTGTATGAATCATATGAATATGTACATGTATGCAAACACATACATATGCATACATCAAGTCCCCACTCAGATAATTTTCTGTGTTCTTTTGACATTTAACTGGTGTATGTCTGTGACATCAACACTAAGGAAAACTGTAGTCATAAATGTTTACAGATAACTTGCAAAAAATATATTTCACAATGCATAAAAAAACTTGCAAATATATACATTAGAAAGTACACCAAATGCCATATCCTTCCCTACCAAATTAAAGTATAAATCATAACACAGCCTCATCTACCCAGGAAAGCCCTGGAAGTGAAAGAATTCTACAATTTATCACACACCCCAATTCCCCTACAAGAGGAGTAAATACATGAATAGCTTGAAGGCTCTGAGGTCAAGGATAAATTATTCTGAAGCTCACAAATACATTAGAGAGATGAAAGAAATAAATGCATTATTAGAATCAACTCAGATGAATAAAACACCAATCAGAATTAACATAGTCAAACATCTAAATCCTAAGGTACTGTTCAACTACATTTATATTTTAATTATTTAGTCACATCTTCTCTATTGTAAGTATTTTAGAAAAGTATTACAAGTATTTTAGAAAAATAGGAAGATATGGAAAAAAGTGGGTAAAAGAAAATCACATGTAATATGATAAAATCATTACTGCTAAAATCATGGTGTTTTTTCTTCTGATATATTTTCAGGGTTTCAAGTGGGTCTGTTTGTCTCTGTTTCATTAGTAACTTAGTATCTTGTTAAAGACTCAAAGTTTACTTAGATACTTCTAAAGTTATTTTGAAAATTATTTAGCCCTCTCCCTATTTCCATACATTTTTATAGATAAATACTGCTGAAATTTTGGTGTGCATAAATCCAAAGCCATTGTAAGTATATTCACACAAATGTACACATAAACATTTAACCACAAGCATGATCGTAATATAGGTATTATTGAGACTTTCTTTTCCTCACAATAGATGTTTCTGAGAACCTTTCTTGTCAATACATAGAGGTTCACCTCATTGCTTGCTATAGCTGCATAATTTTTTGTTGTATGAATGTAGCTTAAGCATTTCCATATTGGTGGATATTGCAGCTATTTCAATTTTTCCCATTTTAAACAACTAACAGATATATTAGTAGTATGACAATATATTTTCTTTTTTTAATTCAGCATATTATGGAGGTACAAGGGTTTAGGTTACATATATTGCCTTTGCCTCACCTGAGTCAGAGCTTCAAGCATGTCCATCCCCCAGACAGTGCGCATCGCACCAATTAGGTATGAATATACCCATCTCCTCCACCCCCCCACACACCTGTCTGATACCCAATGAATTTTACTACTATATGTGCACATAAGTGTTATTTCCTGCATTTTTATTTAGCTCTATGTCATAAGATGCCATCCATATTGCTAAGTGTCCATAATACAAATTATGGTGACTAGCCCAGAGATTCTTATTGAATGGATCAAAGGAACCTGGCCAGATTAAAGATAATTTACCCCCTTCACTTCTAACCCCGGGGGCACCATAAATGTTCAATTCAAATTGAAGATGAGTCATTCTCTTGGCCATTTCTGAAGTTGTAATCCCATTTTTTGTTGGACTCATATCTTTTAATTAAATCATCTGTCTGTGAAAAGTTTGTGAGGAGTTCAAGTCTCTCAATCATCTAAGTAGCAAGCAAGGGATAAAAGTAGCCAGGGAAATCTAATCCACCCAGGCAGTGAGCAGGCTCTGGGAAGAGCTGTGAGTTCTACAATACTTTATGAAACTCTGACATCAGTTTTGTATCAGGGCTTCCCATTCAGGAAGAACTCAACTGGATAACTCTGCTTATTTGGAAACATTTGTAGTTATATGATGACATCTTTCAATGCAGTGCTTTGATTCAGGATTTGATCACATAATAATATAACTCATAGATCATACCTGTATGGTTCAAAACAAAAACAGAAAGAAAACAAAAATAAATAACAACCTTTCAGATTTGGATCACTGGGAGGCATTGTTGAGGGAAGAATAAATAAATAAATAAGCAAAAAATAGAAACAGACATAACAAAACCTCATCATATTAGCATGCTGAGATGCCAAGATAGCTATTTTGCTATGGATATATTTTCATAACTTGGAATATTTTTATTATGGCTCCAATTTTCAGTAGGAAAGATTAGAAAATTGTTTTACTCTCGTAACGTTTACACGTGTGCTTATACCACCGCATACTAAGGTCTTCACCAACTACAGCTATCCATTGGACTTAGGAATTTGACATGGAGCTTCTAATAATCAGAGGAAAATAATATATTAATAATTCCCCAAAGAAGGCAGCAACTGTTTTCAAGGAACTTGATTAGGTGAGTTCTATACGTGAGACTTTTCAGTTTACTAGAGTGGAAGAATTCCTGCAAACTTCCTCCAAGTCAAAGAAAATCAGTATGTTATTATTCTCATCATTTTTATATATATATAGTGAGAGTGAAGCTTAAAACAAAACTAAACACAACTGTGATGTCTCTCAGACACTTGGAATTAAAATAGTCTTTTGACTCAGTTGAAAATAGCACACCTGGGTTAGTGTCTATGAGTAATAAACCATGACAGTGGAGAGCCATGTTTACCAAATAGGACAATAAATGTTTCATGGGTCTCCACTAATTACAGATGTTTTATTCTCTCTAAGGTTTAGGTATACAGCTTCATACAATCTAAGATGCATATAGAGTTAATTCTCAGATAGCATGGTGCATAGGGGTACTGACCTCTTGTGAAGCCAAAAATTCATGTATAACTTTTGACTCCCCCAAAACTTAACTGATAATAGCCTATGGTTGACCACAAGCCTTACCAACAACATAAATAGTCAATTAACACATAAACAGAATAGTACATATATAATATATTCATGACATTCCTTTTTCTTAAATATTTCAATATTCGAGGCTACATGGTTCATTTGCAAGTTTTTTCCCAGATTGTTGCAACTCTCCAAAAACTTTTCCAATATATTCATTGAAAAAAAACCTTTCATATAAATGGAGGTTAAAACTCAAGTTGTTCAATGGTCACTGGATATTCGTAAGTTTGATTTTCCTAATAAATGCTCCCTCACAATGAAAGCCAAGCATGTTTGTTTTTTATCTTAGTCATAAAATTACTAGCTTTGTGACTATGATCAAATTATTAAACACATCAGGGCTCCATATGCCACCTTGTCAAATGAAGATCATAACCAGCTTCTCTCTGCAGATATTTGAAGATGATGTGAGATAATTCATGTAAAGTTCTTGGCACACAGTAGTTGCCCAGTCATGCCACTTCTGTTCCCCCTTCAACTTCCCCAGCCAGACTTTATTTCATACTTATTTGGGTGGTGATTGCAGTACAGAGTGTTCTCCAATTGCCCTTACAGATTCGCAGTCCACCCCTCTCAACTTATTCCTGGCATGAAAGAGTGACATTAATGGATCACTTTATGGACCTTCCTCAGTTTCCAGCTTTCTTTTATGCTCCCCCAACATACATTACCCCCAGGAGATTGTGAGAATGAGCAGGATAAGAGTCCAGACAAATGATCTTGTATTTGGCCACTCTGAAGTTATCATTTAGGGATATTGTCATAGCCGAACTCTATCTAGTGCCCAAAAGTTGCCCCATCCACTCATTCCTTCAGGCCTAGGGGTGACAATGGCACTTCTGTTGCTAGCCTCAGGTGCTTCATCAAGCCTTGTTGATCTCTCCTAACCCTGCCATACCTTTGCCAATAGTCCCCTCATTATATTCTCCACAGTCACCCCATTCCTGGCAGGACCCTAAAAGGTACAGTTATGATACTGGTACTTTGTCCAAATACTAAACATGTTGCCAGTATGTCATTCTTAAACAGACATCTACAGTTCAGAATTACTTCAATATAATAATATATTGTGATCCAGAGGCCGGAAGCTTGAGGAAGCAGGGCAGATTGTTTCCTTGTCTGTAAATTGAGAGTAATAACTATTCAGTTAAGTGAGTTGTTCAAGATGACCCAGCTGGGAAGCTGCACATCTGGGAGTCTTCACACTTCCTCTTTTCTTCTACAACATTGGGAGTAGTTTTTCTGATTTCTAAGGCAAGCAGGGAGTCTCTCCAAGGCTTTTTTAGAGCATGCAGCAGACTTAATTGGCTTCAGTTAAAACTACATAATGAACAGCTCTTGCTTTGCTGGAACCCACTGCCTGCCTATATTCTCAATCCCACACCTAGCAGCAACTCATTAGAAAATCCAAGGTAGAATTTCTGGAACTCTTTTTCCTGATACCTTGTGGCTATAAAGGCAGAATAGGTGAAATCACAAGTGCCCTTGATCCTCCTATTTTTCTCTCTGTATTGGGGCTTATCTATACATGTTGCTTAACTTTTTTATTCCTATTCAAAAGGCATGACATTTCACCTCCACAGATATTTCAAGATATTGACCAACTCCTAAAATAGAAAATTAGAATAGTTTTAAAATTCCCTTCTACTTCTTCTTCCTTATTTTGGTGCCCAAGTTTAGTAGCTTTAGAGTATTTCTTTTATGGTCAAGAGAGAGAATTTCCCTATTTTTAAAATCATTGTTTGGTGTTAAATTTCATGAAATATAAAGTAGAAAATAGTAATTAGGGCAGATTTGTTTTCCTGCTCAGATTCTAGAAGACAAAAGTTTGGACCTATGAATATTAAAAAGTGGCTTAAATCCTCAATTAAATGGCATTAATTAATCTTACCCATATTCAAATTTGGTTTTAAAAAGGCAAGGTAGGAGATTTCCAATCCCTTCTTGTTGCCAAAATAAACTTATTTGAAACCCCTTTTCATGGTGCTAATTTTAGTAACTTCCTAGTGCCTAAGATACGAATTGCGTCCCTCTTTTTTTCACAGTAGTGGTCAAGCAACAATAGTGTTCCTGTCCCTTGA